CTATTTGTATTTTTGTTTATTTTGTATATTTCGAACCTCGCCTGGTTAACTAGTTCACTACTTACTAGCCGGTCCTAGGCCCGGGTAAAGAGGGAAGTTTGGGCATACACCTTGCAAACCTACCCCGTAAAACAAATCTAACCGCTAAAGAAACTTCAAAGATCAAACGAAATATAGAAAAATAATGACAAAATTATTCCTCTCTGGAACTGGAGAGGCGAAATGACACCAGTTGGTGAGAGCCTTCGGGAAGCCAATTGCCTGGGCCGATTTGTCTTCTCACTCTCTATGAAAGCGAAAGTAAACGTGGGGACATGGAATGTCCACACCATGTTTGAACCCAGCAAGGCAGCCCAGATTGCGAACGAGATGAAGAGGTATCACACTGAAGTGCTTGGAATTCGCGAAAGCAGATGGAATGGGAGTGGACTCTCCAAACTGTCAACTGGAGAATCAATAATCTACTCCGATATTGTCACCCAGACGACAACCACGAGCATACTGATGGAGTGGCCATCATGATGTCCCCAAGAGCATCGAAGGCTCTCATACAGTGGGAACCAATCTCCTCCAGGATCATGGCAGCAAGATTCAACTCAAAAGGAAGGAAGGAAGGTCACAATCATACAATGCTATGCACCTACAAATAATGCAGATGGAGAGAAAAAGGAGGAATTCTACAGACAACTGCAATCAACACTGGACAAGACCCCATTCCAGTAGGCCACATCAAAATTCTAATGGGTGGGGAGACATGAATGACAAACTGGGAGCAGATAACACAAGAAGAGAACTAATCATGGGTTGAGAAGCGCTCGGTGAGGTGATGAACGAGAATGGAGAATTGTTTGCAGAATTCTGCGCATTCAACGATTTGGTGATTGGAGGCCAGGCAGTGTGTTCAAGCACAAGGATATCCACAAACCGAGCGACATGGATTCGATTTCACCAGACACCAGGACACACTAAAAATCAGATCGACTTTATCTCAATCTCAAGAAAATGGAGACGCAGTCTACTTGACACAAGGTCAAGAAGAGGAGCAGATGTAGGTTCAGACCACCCACTATCTAGTGCAAGGAACCACCCTTCCAAATCAAGTTGAAAGCCTTCAAGGAAGCTGGTGATAGATCGCAGTTCAAGTACAACACTCGGCAACTGAAGGACGAAACTACAAAGCAAATCTTCACAGCAGCCATCAAGACAAAATGGGAGATATCGAGGAACATCTCTGAAGAAACCTGTGTGGAGGAACACTGGAAGTCTTTGAAAGAGATGTGGAAAGAAACCTGCACAACAGTATTAGGAGGGAAGAAGAAAGAAGACAAGGAATGGAGCTCGATGGATACCTGGAAGCTGATAGAGGAGAGGAGGATGGTGAAACAGAAGATAAACCAGTGCATGGATGCTCAACGACAAGAGGAACTGAGCACAATGTATAAAACAGTGGACAAAGAAGTGAAGAAGAGTGTGTGCAAAGACAAAAGACACTTCTACGAAATACTGACAAGTGAAGCAGAACAGGCTTCAGAGTCCTGGTAGGAGAGACCTGACAACATTTATCAAATAACTAGGTTACTATCTGGGAAGAGATCAATGCAGACGAAACCAATAAAAGATGAAGAAGGAAATTTAATTACGAAAGAAGAGAAAAAATGAGGCAATGGGCTGACCACTTCAAGGGGCTCTTGAATCGACCACCACCTGCACTTCGTCCACAAATACCACCTGCCACCCAGCCACAGAACGACAAGTGAACACAAATCCTCCAACAAAAGTGGAAGTCCTGAACGCCATAAAGCTACTGAAATGAGGAAGAACAGCAGGACCAGATGGGATCCCTCCAGAAGCACTGATAACAGACGCAGAGACAACAGTGGATATGCTCACACTACACCACTATTGCAGAATGTCTGGAAGGAAGATAAGGCACCTACCCATTGATTGTAAGAAGGGCTACCTTGTCAAACTCCTGAAGAAGGCAGACCTCAGTGTTTGCAAGAACTGGCGCGGAATCACTCTCCTGTCCACCCAGAGCAAGCAAAATTTTAGGCCACATCATCCTGGAGAGACTGAAAAATGCATTGGATTCCAGACTACGACCGGAACAGGCTGGCTGGCTGGCTGGATTCAGGAAGTACAAATCATGTGCGAATCAAATTGCAACGCTACACTCAGCATCATCATAGAACAAAGTACAAAATGGCAGTCAACTGGATCTCTACCTCACCTCAACTTCATCGACGTTGAGAAGGCCTTTGACAGCGTCGACCGAGATGTAATTTGGAAACTGCTTCAATACTACGGAGTACCGCAAACCTTTATCCGCTTCATTCAACAACTATATGAAGACGACACATGCCAGCCAAGTAATTCACAATGGGAAGCTCAGTGATGCTTTTGAAGTGAAGACAGGTGTGAAACAAGGTTGCCTACTATCTCCCATGATATTCCTGATTGTGGTCGACTAGATCATGCAGCAAACAGTGAGGAGCGAGAAGAGGGGGATACGCCGGCTGGACTGCGGAAAAGAACCTAGAGGATCTGGATTTCGCCGACGACTTGAGTCTGATGTCACACAAACTTGAAGATCTACAGGCGAAAACTAACAAGTTGATAGAAGAGGTAGGGCAGGGCAGCGAAGACGGGACTTCAAGTGAATATAGAGAAGACAGAAGTGATGAAGATACCACACCAACAACAACAACAAACTCCAGTCACGATCAACGGAAGAAACTTAAAGGAAGTAACCTCCTTCACTTATCTAGGAAGCACTGTTTCAACTACAGGCGGCACGGACGAGGACGTCAAAGTCAGAATCGGAAAAGCAAGACAGGCGTTCATTAACCTGAAACCAGTGTGGAGATCTTCTGCACTGCACTCAGCATGTGGAACAAGATCCGGATTTTCAACACCAACATCAAGTCAGTGTTTCTGTATGGTTCAGAGGCTTGGCGCGTTACGAAAGGCATTTCCAACTAATTACAGACATTCATCAACAACTGCCTACTTTGGCTCGTTACTGAAGATCAGGTGGCCAGAATAACAAGAATCAGCAGCAAGGAACTCTGACCTGTCAACGCACCAACCAAGAACCTACCACTCAACAAATATGCAGAAGGAAGTGGAGATGGATTAGGCATACACTGAGAAGGCCGACTGCGGACATTACACGCCAGGCCAGGTAGTCGAGTGAAACCCAGATGGGAAGCGATGAGTTTGGCGTCCGAGGTTAGGGTGACATGGAGGAGATCGTGCGAGGGGGAAATGAGAACTTCTGGGTTGTCATGGAGCCAGGTTCAAAAGACTTCAGATAACAGAGTTCACTGGAGACGTGCTACTGAATCCCTATGTTCCATTAGGAACCCAGGGGACTAATAATAATAATAATAATAATAATAATAATAATAATAATAATAATAATAATAATTTGTATTAAGGACTTATAAATCTACCCTGAAAGTGGATCGGGTGTGATGCCCAATTAGCGATTCCATGCCAACCACAACAGATAGTTATATTATAAATTTCTGACAGACACACGGATATCCATTGTATCGGTTGTAGAAAACAGCTAACCTCAAAGCCAATAATTTCCTCGATCGCAAAGAAGGATATATTTCTTAGAGTACGGTACAGAGGAAAAACGATTAGTATGATATGGAAACGGAGGTTAAAATTTTTTATCAGTAAAACATACTATACAGCTCAGCTTATGAATGTTAAGACAAAAAAACACCTATTTCGCCGCAAACCTCAACTTCGCATAAATGATTATGTCACATCCCAATGTGTTTACCAATTCGCATGTGTGTGTGGGCACACACACATGGGGAGGAGTAGTCGTTCAATGCATACTAGGTGGACACATACCTAAATGGCTTGAAGGACAGTTTAACACACGAAATTTGATAGGTGTAGGTGACAGACATCCCTCTTCATCCGTGACAAAACAAATCATTGAAATGAATCATAAGGTAAATAAGAAAACAAAGTTCGAGATATTATGTAGGAATAGTCAGGGGAGCATACTGAAACTTGCCAAAGCGTTAGTCATTCGTAAACTTAAGCCCCCATTGTGAGTACAAGAACAGTTTGTTGTTTCACTTAATTTACCTTGGTAATCCTTATCTGATTATATTACCAAGAATTGTGTCTCAACCTTTTTATATTCATTCTATTTGACCTTTAATTTTTCCTTTCATTTTCATATATAAATTAACTCAACAAGTAAATGTGTAATCAGACTGTTCGAAATGTATTGCGCAAATACACCACATTTTTCAGATAATCTTCGTCTTCAAATAGCGTTATCGAAATTTCCAGTGTATGCAAGCGCTAAGCAATCGTATTTCAGTCAAATATACAACAAGGTATTTTTTGGATTCAGAAATGAAATGAGACGATTTCCCCCATGTTTTTAGAGATGGAAACGAAGATCAGTGATCAAAAGTAGAAATTTGTTAAGTGAACATAAACAGAGAGTCAAAAACTTGGTAATTTAGAACTGAAGGACAGTTACGGATGTAATTTTAGAATTAAATAATATTATGCACGGTGAAGCTCTATAAATATACCCTTAATTCAACTTCGTAAATAATGTGCACATCAGAAATATTTGATTTTATCTTTTGCTAACACCTAAGTATTCTTTTGCAAGATGATTATTCAAATGCCTAACTTGTGAACGACTTTTCTCATTCAGAAGAATGTTATTCTCAGAATAAGTCGGTTTGTGTGTGTGTGTGTTTGTGATAAATCCATGATGTAAGACAGAATTCGGCACATGTGTTGTGTAAAATAATCCCTATTCCTATCTTCCACCTTGTTTGTTATGCAAATAGGAAGCAAACTGGATTAGGGAAATTATTGAAATGAGTAGGGGACTGCAAGATAGATGGGTGTTTGGTTAAGCGGGACAGACACATGCTCCGATGTAATGACATATGCGTAGGTCGAAAATGAAAATATCAGAATTAGAAGTAAAAAATATATAATTTGAATTTGGTTATGAACATCTGACAGTTACATTATGACTAAAGAGGAGGCAACATCTCAGTTAGCTCAAAGTTTATTCCATTCAATAAATGCGCATTTTTCACGAGCTCGTATAAAACTATATGGATGGCGCCATTTAGGATGGTTGGTTTTGTTGGTCGCTGCACTCAATGTTGTTTGTATAGGCGGTAAAAGAAGAGCATTTGGAATATTTGTTGCGGCTCTACACAATGCCTATAATGATACAAGTATGACGGAGTTGAACTGGGTTGGTGACAGTTACGCTGCACTTGGATTCTTTTTAATGCCTTTTGCTACAACTGCAATTATTCGACTAAATCGACCCTACAGAAGCACTATGTTTATTGCTGGCTTACTTATCTTCCTCAGTTGTATGACATCAGCTGCAGTACCCAGCCCAGGTTACTTGTTCCTAACTCATACAATAATCCATGGACTTGGATCTACGCTGATTTTATGTGGTACAAGTCTTGTGACAGGGGAGTATTTCGACAAATCACATCGATTTCATGTGCTAGCTACAGCTTTTGTGTCCGGAGGACCTTATGGTGTATTAATATTTGGTCCATTGTACTCAAATTTGATACAGAATTATGGTTGGCGAGTTGCATTTCAAATAAGTGGAGTCCTCTTTTTGTTCGTCACATGCTTAGCTGGAATTGTGTTTCTTTCAAGAGACACGTTTGAATATCATCAAGCGATAGCAGAAACATCTGAAGTAATAGATGAAAATCCGGTGAATAAATCTCTACGAAGACAATCAATCCTACTTCGTAATTCACCGAAAGCAAGTGATGGGCGTGGATGGGCATTTTGTTCGATTGAACATATGAAGAACAATCCGCAAGTATTTATCTGGGGATTTGAACGCTTAATTCACAATCTTGTAATTTATGGTTTGCTTATGAATATGACAGCTTATGTGAGTCAAGCATTAAATGATCAGTTAGTCATGGGTGCCCGTGTTAACTTATACTTTGGTATAGGGGAATCAGTTGTATTTACAATTGGCGCTTTAATCGGTGATCGTATACGTGGTCATTTAGCAACTGCCTATTTTATTGGTGCATTATTTGCTGCCTTATTTCTGCTTATTATGCAAAAAACTTATGAAGATATTAATGTGGTTTATATACTTGCTGGATTCACTGGTGCTACTGTTGGTGTTGGCAATACCTTTTTATATGCTACGTCAGAAGAGGTAATGCTTGTTCATGGTTCAATTGCATTCCCTATGACAAAAATGATCGCCGGTATTGGTATGTTATTAGCACCGTTGTTTTCAGGTGCAATAATAGATGGTTTTGGATATGGTGGGTTTTTTATTAGTATGGCAATTCTAGTATCAATAAGAGTCATTTTACTAGGTATCATATGCTTCATACTACATCGTAGGAAAAAATTAATTCTAGCCACTGAAAATGAAGAATTGCCTAAAAATACAAATGAACTATACCACTGTTGTCAAAACACAGATAAACCATGTAGTGATAAATTAACAAGTTTAAACATGGAAAATGATAACATAACTTTCAATACAGATGGAATACACGCAGACTCAACACGACTTGATTTAGAAAAACGCATTCAAACATCATCTGAATGGTATCATGAAAATGATAGAAAAATACCGTGAAAGTAAACTTATTAGCAATTATCTGAACAGAACATTATATCATATAAAAACCATTTTGGTGATGAATAATCTTACTTTTGCTTAATTGGACATATTTATACTACTATTATGTGGTTGGTTTCACAGCATTACATTACTACACAAACAGGATTGTCAACATTCATTTTAACAACAGTTCAATTCATATTGCTTAGACAGTGATAATTTTTTTGATGTGGTAAGTCGATTATTTCACCACTTAAATATAAAAATAATGCTCATTTTTTCATGGTGTAGTTAAATAAATTCCAAAGTATGTTGAGATTACACAATGAATATTAAAATGAATATTTAAACAATAGATGGTCTAATTATCACTGAATTCATTGTTTTCTTTTTCATTGAAAGTCTATACCTCTACGTAGGTGAGACTAAAAGTTATCGCTAGGTGTTATCGTGCTCGTCATAGGTCATAGGGTTGTTTGTGAAAATACGAACATTTTCTGTATCCTGTATGAACATTTTACCTATTTGCACTGTTTTTACAATGCCGTCTGTCATTGAATCGTGTTTTATGTGCAAAGTGTTAGCTACACTTCCACCTTTGTGATGTTCACAGATCACAGTGAGTTAACTGAGGCTTCAAATTACATTCAAAAGGATTTATGATTGCAGTTTTAACTTCAGAATACATGCGGACAAAACAAATAAAGAGTAACAATCTGGATGAAGAATATTCTTTTTAATAAATTCTCTACAATTATAAAATGCATTTGTACAGCGTAAAAACAGGCCACATTAGGGGCAGGCGGATTTTCAAAATAGAGTGAGATTTAAGGATTGTAAGGAAGTCGGTTTATCTTTTGTAAATTATTCAGCATTGGGATGATACATATACAGGAGAATGATATGATGGTGAACGAAAAGGTAACGAATAAGATGACAGGAGTGGCCTTTAATTTGCTGAAGGCCAAGGGAGAAGTAACGCTGAAACATGTTCTTTCTAAGTTCAGGCTTGATCAGTCGTTTTGCGACAGCCTCCGCTATTTTGAGTAGGTTTCGCCGAGGCACATGTGGTGCCGTTTTTTGGGACACGATGAATGACATTGAGAGCTTTATTAGCATCTGTGTGATGCCCTGTGTCTACTAGATGAGCTACGACTGAACGTTTCACCACTTTCACCTTCAGTTAAATTGGTATATGCAGGACTAAGAGCTGAGATTAGGTAGGCTATCCTTTAGTCTTGGGTTGAGCATTGACCGACCTGCATAAAACGTCCTGTTGACTGCTCTAGCTAGGCGTCATGATAGAATGTCACTTGCAAAATAAAATGCATATTTTCAGACAGAATGCTTAAATAATGTTTGTTGAAAGTACTCTTCGTAATATATATATATATATATATATATATATATATATATATATATATATATATATATATATATATATACGACTGTACGACTGTAAAGTGTGGGAACTTGAACCGATGCATTTATATAGGAGGTTGTGTGTTGATTTTATCTTTTGACATACAGTAAGATCCTTACATTACGCTTACCTCCAGTAATAAATTGTTGATTTTTTTCTTCTCACCCAAAACCGCTTATTAAAGTAAGATTAAAAATCGGCAGACATTGTTAGGGATTTGAGATTTTCATGCTTTTAGAAATCAGTTTTTTGGTGTTGTGCATCAAAACTTACGGTAACTGTAGCTAGCCTAATCAAACTCATGACTATAAAGTATTTACATCATAAGGAAATGATAGCTTCTCATAGCGAATAAGATAACTTGTTGATGAGTAGATAAAACAGTTTTTATCACGATTTGATAATCTACAACAAAACCACTGAACATTTGTTTCATCATTCTAGTTTCAGACTGGTAAGTATTGTGTACCTGCTAGTCAATGGGAGATTAATTCTAGAACTACCAGGTCTGGGAAGTAGTACATTTTCATCCAAACACTGAAACCTAATTTAAAGGTTTATACTTTTTTAATTTTGCCAATTTGTACCATACCATATCAAAAATAATCCCTTCATATTAGTACTTGAGAGAATTCTTTGTGAGGTGAATCACTAACAAGTTATAAGGTCAGAAGGAAAGTATTAGATTTATAAAGCTGAATGAATTTCAGTAAATACAGGTTTGCAGTTATACTTCCTTGTAATGAGTTTTATTAGTGGTCACTTACAGTATCTGTCTTTATTCTGATTTACTACGTGTACAGATAGTGATGGTATGTTAAAATCCACTAGACATGGGAAATGAGGACAAAGTTTGATTCAAAGATAATATTCACATCAGTAAATAACTATACTTTATCACTATCCAAATCTAAACTTAAAAGATGAAACGATTATGATAAAAATAGAGTGCAAATAATCATGTCGAAGAGTTCAAAAATAATTCGATAGAGAAGTATATCTTTATTGTTATCAAAATGTTCACAATTCAACTAAGGCTTTACAAAAGCTACCATTTAGGTTTGAATTTGTTACTCAGTTTTATTTAGTTGACTGATCAACATCATTTTCATTACTCATAACTCTATAATATACCTCTTAATATAACTTGATGAGTGAGAATTACATCAGATCGAAGTTGAATCAGTGCAGTTGACTTCACAATTGACCCAGTCTACCAGATAGAAGAATAGAGTTAGAAAGTTTGTGATTAAAAGGGAATGTCAAATGATCAATATGATACAGATATGTTAGGATTGCAGCATGCATTCACTGGTTATGAACTAACTAGGCGGTAGATTTAATAAAATATTCTTCTAAAGCCTCCTGTAATAGTTTCCACTTTTAGAGTACGAAATCTCAGGTTATTCCATAAACTGCATCATTCGAAGTAATGATTAATACACACTGTCGAATACAATAGAAATGCATTATCATTTATCTTCTTGTGGTATTCCATTTACATATTCGACTACATTTCTTTTCAAAAAGAGAATGTATGGACAGCCTAGTAGGTCGTAATTGCTTGTTAGTTTGTTTAACTGGTGTATCCCTCATGTTGAATAACGAATCAGTTTATTATTAATAAAAATGTTATGAATAGAAAAACCCAACCAGTGACCTCATGACGAGGACTGATTCTATTTGTTACATTACCAAAATTAAAGACTTATCATTGCAGGGAAATATTTCTTCCAAACACATTTACAGTGGACTAACATAGTACATCGCTTTTTCTGATGTTGATCATGTAAAGAAATTAGTATTAATCTGAAGTACTGTTAATAATTGGTGACAGTTAATAGTAAGTTTTTCTTACTGACGTCCTATGAGATAACTGTTTTTCTGTTACTTTCATCTCTAAGACATGCAAAAATCAATCAGGCTACAAAAACTTATCATGAAATCGTAATAAATCTGATCCTTTTTAAACTTCTTGAAGCTTTCATTCTTGTCTGTTTCGAAAGTGTAAAGTCACCTTAGAAAACACAGATTTTATAATTGACAGAGTAGTATATGCCTAAAAACAGTTTTTTCATACCTGAGGGAATTTTTAGTTGGGGAATGTTTCGAAAGCTAGGTTGATACTTCTTTCAAAATCGAAAACTTCATCTGGAGATACAAATCACATAATACTGTAGCCTTTAAAAGTATCATATAAAGGAGTTCATAGTCGTCATTGTGCAAAATATTGGTTAAAATCTCATCTAAAAGTATTGCTTCCTCAGTATGAAGGTATCCATCAAAAAGTAGTTCCAAACATTACTTATGAATCGGAAATCAGATCAGTAATGATTAATCAGTTACGTTGTTCTTCGTGATTTGTTATTCTAGTACTTACACGAAATATGTAAGCTAAATTCACGGAATATTTCTTGTTACCATACTGTCGTCATTATTTAATGTGTTAAGAATGAAGCATAATTACAAAGTTAAATAATCAAACAATTAATGTAGGTTGATATTTCTCAATGGTATGAAGAAAGACTTTTTTCTGAAGTAACTTCCACTGTTGAAGCGTAGTAAGAGCTGTTAATTACCCCGTCGGGAGTTACAATTTGGATTTAAGAATAAAACAACTCAATAAGAATGCATTATTCGTTCATGTATAACGAACACTACAAGTCTCATGTATTGTTTAAAGTCTAACGACAATACATCATTTCCTTAGTGAGATTTGGTATGACTATTTTGAACTAAAAATCCATTGGTAGGAAGCCGATTGCTCAGGTTAATATGACGTAGATTAGATGTACATCATAAAATTTTATCACAAAAATCTATATGGCAATATAAATAGCAAGCATACTTTCACTTCTGGATTAGGAGTCCAAGTGAATACAATCGGTTGTTCTGTCCCGGATTCTAAAATAAGCTTGATTAAAAGAAAGTATTAGGAGTCGAATAAAAGAAGGTAGAATTCAGGAATTTCATAATCGAAGTATTATGAGAGTATATTTTATTATAATCTCAGTGTGTTTAGAAAATGAAAATAAGATTTTTCCAAACTTTTCAGTGCGTGTAAGTTACAGCATCTTTAGCATACTACGGAGTACCGCAAACCTTTATCCGCCTCATTCAACAACTATATGAAGATGCTACATGCCAAGTAATCCACAATGGGAAGCTCAGTGATGCCTTTGAAGTGAAGACAGGAGTGAAACAAGGTTGCCTACTATCCCCCATGATATTCCTAATTGTGGTGGACTGGATCATGCAGCAAACAGTAGGCAGCGAGAAGAGGGGGATACACTGGATGACGGAAAAGAACCTAGAAGACTTGGATTTCGCCGATGACTTATGCCTAATGTCACATAAACTTGAAGATCTGCAGGCAAAAACTAACAAGTTGATAGAAGAGGCAGCGAAGACGGGACTTCAGGTGAATATAGAGAAGACAGAAGTGATGAAGATACCGCACCACCACCATCAACAACAACAACAACAAACTCCAATCACCGTCAACGGGAGAAACTTAAAGGAAGTAACCTCCTTCACTTATCTAGGAAGCATTGTTTCAACTACAGGCGGGACGGACGAGGACGTCAAAGTCAGAATCGGAAAAGCAAGACAGGCGTTCATTAGCCTGAAACCAGTGTGGAGATCTTCTGCACTCAGCATGCGGAACAAGATACGGATTTTCAACACCAACGTCAAGTCAGTGCTCTTGTATGGCTCAGAGACTTGGCGCGTCACGAAAGGTATTTCCAATAAACTACAGACATTCATCAACAACTGCTTACGCTCGCTGCTGAAGATCAGATGGCCAGAAAAAATAAGCAACAAGGAACTCTGGGAACGAACCAACCAAGAACCTATCACGCAACAAATATGCAGGAAGAAGTGGAGATGGATTGGCCATGCACTGAGAAGGCCGACTGAGGACACCACGCGTCAGGCCCTCGAGTGGAATCCCGATGGGAAGCGACGAGTTGGACGTCCGAGGGTGACATGGAGGAGGTCGTGCGAGCAGGAAATGAGAGGTTGTGGGCTGTCGTGGGACCAGGTTCAAAAGATCTCAGAGAACAGAGGTCACTGGAGGCGTGCTACTGAAGCCCTATGTTCCACTAGGAACCCAAGGGACTAATAATAATAATATAATAATATAATCACCATTGTATGCCAAGATTGAAATTAGGCTTGTATATTCCAAGTTAAACTTATTATGTGAATGAGCGACTCAAATAATATGCTTATGGGACAAAGATTTACTGATACACGATTAGCGTCGTTGATTCCGTTATCAAGAAATATGTCGCAATTTAGTGGAATGCTGAAATGTGATCTTTTTATTAAGTGTGATTGGATCCATATTTATATCAGATGCCTTCATTGGAGGCTATGCACTAAATGTTTTTTTTGTTTTACTCAGACCTTTATGATTAGATCTTATTTTTTAGTTTATACACGTGTCTGTTGTTTGCATTTATGACATCTCCTGAAACAGAAAAAAACCAAGAAACCAAGAAAGGCAATAGAAGTAGAACTGTAACTGTTGGTTACTGCTACGGTAACTGAGTCAGAATCATCTGCATTTGAGATTTTGAAAAGCAAGTTTGCCCATTGAAGGAATTGTATTAATCACGTTAAATCTATTGGATTAGTATCCGTTATAAAGCTTTTCAACTTGATACTACCAAGTGGTCTAAATCTGGGTTTTAGAACGCTAAAACAGTGCTAACATGATGCAGTTAAATAACTGGTAAGGGCAGCACATTGGTGATAACCTAACGGTTCATGTTTAGCCTAGATAATTATAAACAGATGGATTACTGTAAAATGATTTATTTAGTTCATAAAAACAAAAACTAATATGCTTTTTTTGAAGGCATGTCTAAGATCATCAAATAAAGCATGTTTCTAATCTTTCTAATCGAATCTTGGCTTATTTATGAAATAAGATATGATTTGGAAGTTGCGCATTGAAGGTATTCAACGCTTTTTAAGCACCTGAAAATGAATGAACAAAAGCTGTGTAGTGGTGTTAAGAAAATAGGCTGGCAAATATTTCAAACCACACACATGTGTGTGTGGTCAAACATACATAGGGAGGAGTAATCGAGTTATGCAGCTGAGGGTGGGAGAACATGTGCCTAAATGGCTTCAAAAACAAATGGAGTGTAAAACAGTGATAAAAGCTGGTGGGAGACGACCCTCTTCATCTATAGCTAAACATATCATAGAAACAGGTCACGAAGTCAATGTCCAAATAGCTTTCAAAGTCTTATATAGAAACAGTCAGGGACGTATTCTGAGATTTGCGGAATCCATACACAAATTTAAACCACCTTTATGTGTACAAAAACAGTTTGTTATTACACTACACCTACCTTGGCAAACTTTGTTTTCTTACCAAGATTAGGACCAACTATGTCACTTTCTGTTTGTCCTCACCTTTCTTAATTTTAATCCCCTATTGTGTTAGTTGTTGTATTTATCCCCCCTCCCAGTCCTCGGTTTAATATATATTGACTTGACAAGTAAATGTGTGATCAGATTGTTTGAAGTATATTGCGCAAATACATCACATTGCTCAGATAAACTTCGTCTTCTAATTACGCTATAGAAATTCATAAAACGGACTAACTGTATCAAATTTTTGAACTGAATATCCTTATTATTGCTCTGCTAAAGTAGTCTTTGCAAATAACTGAACTTAAATTGTCAAAGTATGAATTACGTTTATCTGCAACGTTATGACTGACACATAAAATATCGGAAAGGAGTAATAAAAAATAGGTGGTTCTACAAACCATAAACATGACAGAAACTATCTACACACTTTCAAAATGAAACCAGTGATTTGATCTTGGTTGTATTGTGTTCAGCTCAGAGAACACAATACAAAGAAGACCATCCGCTTGAGCTACAAATATTCTCCATTGCCAGTGATTCGAATTAGTCGTTATCAGAGTGATGCAAAATTTCCTGTTTTTGAATTCAAAGGACTATACTGATCAACTTTCCTTGGCGTACAAATTCCTTGTACGGATATCTTGATCTATGCTTTGTTCACTGTCAGTCTGTGTTTGATAATTATCCTAACTGATAGGTTCTTAATCCCTACGATCACTGAAGAAATATTTAGTCTTACTGAGCTTTACAATTGTGAAAATGGCAAAATACACATATTTCACCTGATCAAACTGACCGCCAAGGATTTTCTATCACCGTGTTATGTTTACAACAATTCGGGTTTATGTTAGCCAAGGCATATGCACTACTAAATGGTCGTAAAATGATTTGGTTTTTAGCATAAGTTTTTGGATTGCTGACAGTAGACTTATTACAAAGTTTCCTAATTCATTTGCATAACTGATATTTTCCTCCCTCCTCCAAATGGGATGGTTATGTGAGACACCAAAAATCAATGACGAATACTTTTCCTAAGTATCTGCTTACCTACTGCCACTTTTAAATGAAAAATAAGTTGAGACATGTCTTGATTTTCTTTAACTAAGGGGGAACCCTCATGACAAGAAATGCCAAACGAGGAAGAAAATTTCCTCTCTGACTATGCCATTTACTCAGGCTATACAATCGTAGTTATAAGTATTAGAAACAAATTATAATCTGCTTATTATTGCCTAGGGTTAGGGTTACATGACTATATTGATGTTCACGGGTAGAATAAAAAGGTTATTTCGCAAGACGAACGTTTATTACTACGAGCCGGTAGGTTAACAGTTTACTGGAGAATATGATTCTCAGTTTAGTTTTGTGAAATGTCTTCCTCAGATATCTTAGGAGGTGACTTTTGAAGATTTCAACTACAATGTTGTCTCTGAGTTGCGGATTCATCAATGCGGGGTTTTCTTCGAGAAAGTCGATAACTGTTGAACTAGTGGTTTCTTCACAGTAATATACAGAGTTCTTCCTTTCAACTTCGAGTGATTTGTCGACTACATCATCCGTATAAGGTTGAATCATTGACATTTCCTAGCCTTAGGCATAGCCTTCGTGTTCAAAAACAGTGCTCGAGCTCACTGACCTTACCATCATCTGAATAGTGATTCCGTTCTGTTTCAGGAAACAACTTTGTCATTTCACTTTTGAACATTATAGTCATTATATGACTTTAGTGATAAATAATAGGTCGTTATTTATTTCCAGTACTTGTGAATACGATTGTACAGGTTCAATAGACGATATCGTTCAAAAAAAAATTTATTTTGCTGTTGTCTTTTTGATACGATTTTATTTTTAAATAAAAAGTAGGAGAATGCCATAACATTTCAAATGTGTATCTCGTTCGATACCACATGAAACTAACCTTTGATGGGGTGACAGTGAATCCAATAGCAGATAACTCATTAAGGTTCTCGATTATGCATTCACCGCTCTGAAAATGTAAACAAGGAGTCATTTAAACTAGACGATATATAGTTTGCATATTTATGAAACTGATGACATGGTGAATACTAATGACGTCTGTTAAACGTCCAGGTTGTTTAGTGAGTTTGCAAGAAGTTAGTTATATGAATGAGAAATAGGTAAACAGTCCAGTATTTTAAGGAGTAAAAGTTAATTTCACCGGGATTTACTAAGACGGAAAATGTGTTCACTTTAATTATTTTGCATATTATCCGCCTTATATGTGGGGATAAAGTTGGTAGCTTATAAAGATGTGAACTTTTGAAGACTAACTTTTAGACTTCTCCCTTAAAGGTCTAGCGGTTCCTCAAAAACAGAAAAAGGTATCAGAATGATGAAAAATTTGTTATTAAGTCAGAAGGTCTAGAAAATTTAATGGTATATATATTTGTTCAGAGACTGTGGTATTTTCTACAGTTTTCTGGAAAGGGTCTGAAGCTGATACGTATGAACATCTGGTTCCTAATGAATGTTCAGCGTGCAGTGATTAGTTGTGAAGGTCTTCTGGGAATTTCGTCTTCCTTGAGGAATCTAGGAGGTAATGATTCACTTGAATACCAATGAAACTTAAATATAACTTCCTGATAGTGGAATGTTAATCAAAAACGTTTTATGCTGACTTCTTTTGTTTCACTTGATACGTGTTAAATTATCAATTCTATATCTTATATAAGATAGTCGCAAGAACTAATCAAAAGAAAGCATGATTGGTCTGATTTTTTTATTAACCGACATCGGTTAACTGGAGATGAAAATTTGTTTAGAAGTTAGATGGTATTGCTTCACCAGTTTTTCTTTGAATCGAAGATCCATTTTAAGTCTATCCATCACCAAAATGTTTTATCAAATCATCATTCTCCTCTAATCTCTAAGTTGCTCGACAAAGAAACTATGAATGATTTAGTCATCTATTCTGATACTTTACCATATATAGTACATAATCTAATCGCCACTAACCTAGGTGACACTGTACGTAAATGCGTATGAAGATAAGAAAAGAAATAAAGAAGTAGACTTTAGTCTAATAATCACAGAGTTTATTTGGAATTAAATATCTGTATTCTCGAGATTTTATTTCGAATACATTTGCTTAAATATAAAATATCATATAATCAAGAATTATCACAAGAATTAATTAACATGTAAGTTTAGAATAAGTGAACAGAATTTCACTGTATAAAACAGTTTATTTACTTTTTCGTGATGCCATAGATGAATATTAGTCCATTATGAGTAATACTAAGAACTGATGACAATCAAGTTACGTCCCTGGTTCGTTATTTTCAAAGTGATTCAGTGAACTTTGGATTTATAGGTGCAGAGCACCATTACAAGCAAACAATCAGTTGTAATGCACTTCCTGAGGCAAATTCAGGCTATTTGCATTTAGTTTAAATGATATCACCACTAAAATGGTTAGCCTAATACTTGTCTTAGTTTGAGAACTTCATTCTATCACAATAACATGAAGTGAAACAGGTTAGCTTGTTCTGTAAATACATACCGGTTAAAGTTAGCATAGGCCTTAGAATTAATGGACAAAAATCATTTTTAATCTTATGTAATCATTGTTACATGCTACATAAAAGGAACGAAAGCACAAAGGGATGATAAATCTGTTGTCAGAATAAGGAAAATGACCTTTAGAAATTTAAGCTTGCATATTTACTTGTGTGCAGTCCATAAATACTGAGTAAATGCTAGAAAGTTATATTTCTGGTATACATTTGCTACTAATATCCTTAGCATCTATATATATGAAAATAAAATTTCATATGTTGGTGATATCTAAACTTTATCAGTCATACTTGATTAGCTATGAAACATTTTTCCCTAAGAACAAGTAAGAGACCAAGAACCATTTTCCATTAGGCAGGTACATAACTGTTGTTTGCAAATCTTTAGTAGCGCGGAGGATAGATTGACCGAATAGCTAAGTGGTAAACATTGCTAAGTACAACATTGGATGATGTGGGTTTGGATTTCAGAGGCAACGTCAATTCTCTCGAGGCTGCATATGCGCCTTGCTGACGAGTGTTAGCATTCAAAAAATCTTGGTTCAAGACTTTCTGCTGATTGCCTCCAACCAACTAATATAGTATCGGCCTATTTTGCATCTTAGCTTAGAAGCCTTAGATGTAGCTAATAAATCATTATACAAACGGACATTTCTAAGATTCATCTATTAGAAAAAAATGGAAGATACAAACATATGGATAACCTTCGAAGTAAAAAGAATTGACTTCATCGCTTCATCTGGTGTCAAAAGATTTTTACAATTAGGAGTTCGTGAGGAAAGCTGTTTGATAATTTGATTGAAGTTTACATGAGTTAATGCGGTTTTATGATACTTACGAAATCACAAGGATGAAATGGATTTCATTTAATCTATCTAAAGTCAGTTCATTTCTTGACGAAGATAAATTTGGTAAAACTCAGTAGCTTTTTCAACAATATCCACTGATACATCTATCGCTACCATTATATTAAGTAACATATTTTTCGAGTAGTGTTGGTAAATTCTGTTGAAAAATTGATTAGATAAATTAAGTAAAGCGCATTTTACAGTTTAGATGACATAAAGGATAAGCAATGAGGACTATTCTACGTAAAGTAATAGTTAGAATAGCTAAGTAAACCAACTTTCTTAGCACCGGTGTTTGAAGACTGTACGAAACCAGCGTATAAAATCCTTCTGGTAGGAGTTTCTTTAACTTTTAATTCTTTTTTATTTACAAGATTATCTCCATCATCCTTTTCGGTCGCTTCTGTTTCTGTAACTATGTTGGAATTCTCTCTTGACAAGGAAGACTGCTGACCATTGATTGTCAAGTAGGATACTGTTTCTAGAATATAAAAGATCAAAATTGGAAAGTACATTAAATAATTTATGGTCAGACTAAAGCGAACAGGAAGTTAGGCCAGCAGTGGATTGACGCTTTGCTGTAGTTGACTCAAACTAATGATCCCGTTAACTGTTCCAGTTTTCAATTTCTCTATTTTTAAGCCCTAGAGACAATTTACCACCCATGAGAAACTGCCTGATTTAGAGGAGTGATCAAGCACTTAGGAAACTTTTCTTCGTAAGGCTTACTAATCTTTATTACATCATAGAATGATAGCCAGTATAAGCTGTTGGTGCAGCGCGGCACAGAGAACCTACAAAATTTTACGTTGCAAGAACAAAACGTTTAATCATCAGCTCAACGCTGATGTCTGAAATCGGAAATCAGTTATATTTGTACATGATCCGGTGTTAATTTCTTAGTGCAATGAAGAGACTAGGGTGAAGAAACGTCGACAAAACAATAAATGTCCAATAGGAGAATAAATGGGGCAAATATAAAGCCCTCACATATTCTGAAACGAAACAAAAACGAAAGGCACTCAGCCGCCTTGCGCACATCTGTGCAGTAGGCAATGAGGGCCATCTTTAGTTTGAGGGCTAGTGATACTACCTGGCTGCTCAAACCTCCGTAGGTGGAGTGGATCTTGAACCAATGACCCACTGACTGGCAGTCATCTTGCTAGATAGATGAGTTATAGCTCCGTTAAACAGTTGATTCTGTATGAAATATGACTAGACATCACAAGAACTACAGCTGTTCGTTTATTTTCACTTTATGAACGAAACAAACAACAAGTAATGGTCGTCGAAATAGTAATGTTGGGTATATTTAATGAAGATTTTTGATTTAACATAGAGGATAGAAAATTTCAAAGTGATACCAATGTTCACACAAAATTAAGGGTATTTTGTTCATGGTAAAATTATCTGTTACTTTTAACATTTTAAATTAGTCACGATTTGTTAAAAAGGATCTTCAAGCCTTCTGTGTCAAAAATCTTAGAAATCACTAACTTTTGTGCATGAAGATTCAATTCTCTACAAAACAAAGCAAATAACTTCTACCATGCGAAGCAGATTAATCAGTACTATAAATACTTAACATCTTTTCAGGTCAACTAATATATTTTCAAATTATAGTTGGTCGCAGGATCATTCTTAGCTCCTTCCCCATAATACACCAAAAGTATGCACAAAATGGCCCCGAAACGACTTACAGGAGAAAAGACGTGAATGCCTCCATGATACAAAGCTTTTTCTAATGAAATATGCTTTACATCAGTCTAAGTGTAAAACTTCGCCACTGTGGTCGATTGTAATTCCATTTTAGTCTGTTTATTAGAAATATCACAGTGAAACAGTAGCATTTACTGGATAACGTTTAGGACACAATTTAATGTCCATACTCATATCAGGCAACTCCACAACTTCGAGACAGTCTTTATATATTCTTAGTTTTCTCTCCTTCTTTGTGATGACAAGGGTAGTAGAATTTTCCATATATCTGGGACAGGTGCAGCATCATTTTGATTACATGTACTTGGTGTTGATTCCATAAACAAAGAATCGGTTATCAATATCTTCCTCCACCTAACTAAGTTAGTTTTCAACACTGTCACTCTATCCCACCCTACTGTGTGATTGTGTGTCATCGCATGCAGAGCTATAGCTGAGTTTTTCTCTAGATTTCTTATCTTATTAGGAACTACTTATCTTGATTTAGGTAAGTTTTTGTGTTCTGTTATTCTGATCAACCCTGGTCGACTGCTTTGACCTATGTACTTGACCTCGCAATCATTGCAAGGGATCTGGTAAACCAGATTAGTAGATCCTAATAAGATAAGAAATCTAGAGAAAAACTCAGCTAAAGCTGTGCATGCGATGACACAATCACACAGTAGGGTGGGATAGAGTGACAGTGTTGAAAACTAACTTAGTTAGGTGGAGGAAGCTATTGATAACCGAATCTTTGTTTGTCGAATCAACACCAAACACATGCAATCAAAATGATGCTGCACCTGTCCCAGATAGATGGACAGTAAATTGTCCTAAACGTCATCCAGTAAATGCTACTGTTTCACTGTGTGATATTTTTAATAAACAGACTAAAATGGAATGCTTTACATCGCTTGTGAAGTACTGCATAACCGCTTCAGGAAGTGGTATACGGCTAAAACGAATGGTGTGGTTTGTACTACTTAGCTTGATATCAATATATTCAGACTCTTAATTCAGCTAACTTAAGTATTTGATTGTTATTTTAGAATTATGAAGTTTATGGTAGCAAACAACTTAGTATTTAATTTTTATTAACAACTTACTAGGCTCTTTCAAGTCAGACAAACATTGTAGCCCAGGAGAATCATTTTGTACATTTATATTGAGTAAATCACTGACATTTTCTTGCTGATCACCACCTCGAATGTACAGGTTGTGTTGTTTACAAGCACCCTTGAGTATCAGTTTATGCGAGTTGTTTATCTGTTTACGTAAAAAACATTTACAGCTACATAGAAATTAGTACTGGTAATAAAAAGGATGCCGAAAGAAATAGAAACTGGTCAATAAAGTTGATCACTACTGTTGAAGTGAATACACGCTTCCATAGTTGTAATATAATCAAGTTATGGACTGTAAAATAAATTGTCTAAAAGTTTAGTGGATGTAAATGCTGTACTTTAAAGTTAAGTGCTTAACTGATAGATTTCTTTTTTATAGTAATCAAATCAAAAGCTCATAAGTACACAGCTGTCAAAATCTGATACCACGGGTGTATCGCATGTTAAAGTGTAGCAAAGACAGGCTAGTGCATTGTCAACAGCAATGTTATATATTAATATCTTACAATATATGGACAAATTATGGTCTACTTGAAAGTACACAGAATATAATAGGTTATAACAGAAGCCTAGTAGAGTTATTTTAAAGAAAACTATATAGGTAAAGTCATAACAAAATCATTGGTTTAAGCATTTGATTTCCAACAAGTGGGTCATGGGTTCGAAACCATCTCCACCCACCAAGGTTTCGACAGTTAGTATAATTAGTTCTCGCATAGTAGCTGTGTCTCACTGTCCACTTCACAAACTTACTAAACGTAGCTTAGTGAATTTAAATTTCGAAAATAATGAAAACAAAACCAGAGAGAAAGATGTTGAAAAAAACTATGTTCAGTAGACATGACATAGAAGTCTTATTCCTAACCTGCTTTGCAAAATTATACAACACATTTTCATGGTGATAATTACTTACTATTTCACAATGGAAGAGTATTTTTCGTAAAAAAGTGGATTTAAAAAGGCAATGTTACAATGGAGGCTAAAATAGAAGAGATGATGTTTACTGTTCTCCAAGCTTTGAGGTTTGCTCTTCAGCGTTTCATTACTGGACTAGGCGACTTCACAGCATTCGCTCCATCAATAAGTGAAGCAAACTCGAACTGCGTGAATGCTTATGCTACATATTTGCCAACACTAAGGTCTGTTGTTTTTTGAGTAGGGTTTTACCTTTTATTTTTTCTCAGGCTTCGACATTCATAATTGTTGTTATCATTTGACCTGCGCTGTTGACCTACTATCCGCTTATTTTCCAAGTTGGTATTCATCATGGACTGACATCAGTCGGGGGAACACTGGAAACCTGGGGGTACTGGACATCTGGGATATGCACCCATGACCCCGCCAAGCCAAGAATTGAGCCCAGAACCTTCATGTTCCGTGGCCAACACGTTACCATTGAGGCACTCGGTCTGCTTGTTGGTCCCTTCTAGGTTGATGTCCATACGTCACTTCATTATTATGGCAGTTAAATGGTCAAGTGGTAACAATAGTTATAGAGTTTGATAAAAAGGAGAAGAAGTTAACCCTGCCTCCAAGCCAATAAAGCTGAAGAGCGGAAACCTTTGCAGCATAGACACTTATGTAACTTAAAATTGTTTTGCTTCGTGAAGCAAGTGCTTATGAAGTAAATAATGTAAGAGTAAAGCTTGGGGACTGTGATGGAGTATAATTCCATAATTGCATATTACAGCGTTTGTTTGATATAGCACACACACATCATTGTGTGCTGTATGAAATAAACAATCTAGCATGCTAATGAAGTCGCTTAACCTAGTGATGAAATGTTCAAGAACAAACTTCAAAGTTCGGAGAACGGAAAGTTACCATAATTGAGATTTCATAGAATCATACAGAGCTTATTCAGCACTTTATTCTGGTAATGACTCACCAGATTATTTCCAGTCAAGTATATTGGGCCAAAATGTTCATGATTTAGATTGACTAAAATGGTTGCGTTCACATTGGCCTGAGCTAGAGCACACAGCCTACTCATTTTGCAGTAAATAACAACGGAGTGAAGCCAAAGGTAATTCTAAAGCACATATACTTTGTAAACCAAAGTAGAAAAGGAGAAAGTAAAAATCTCAAAATCAGTTAGTAAGTGTTTTCCAAGAGGTGTTTATTGAGACTTGGTGGCTTAGGATATGGAGTTTTAGCAGTTACTGAAATGGCTGTTGAATTTCATTCCTTTGTAAATGCAAAAATACTAGGTCCAGGTATACTTAAATTAGGAGTCTTCAATCAGAAGAAAAATAAGTTTTGAATATCCCTATTAACCATCGTTATTCATTGTTTGAAACAAGTGTCATAAATAAAACAAGCAATCTGTGATACCAGAGTAATTATACTATTGAACAGTAAACCATAGTGACGCTTAGATGTTAGTTGGTTGGGGGAAATCGACAAGAAGTCTTGGATCTAGGTTTCATGCCTGTTAGCACTCATCAGCAGGGCGCATCTGCAACCTCGATGCAACTGACATCATGCCTGAGATATAAACCGGCACTGTACAGTGTTGTAGCCAGCGACGTTACCACTGAGCTATTCTGGGTGCAATTGGGCTCCTATAGGACTGGGTTACATACGTTGATTGGTCACGGGAAGCAATCGATTTCACTTTGTCCAGTCCCGTGTGCTGATGGAGTTCTGTCGATCAGTTTTGCAAAGTGGCCACCTTAACTAGGAGGCTCAGCATCGCAGGGTACATCAGTAGATGTTAGTTGATTGGAGGCAATACGCTGGAAGCCTTGGAACTAGATTTCGTTCTTGTTGGCTCTTGTCAGAAAGACGCATGTGCTGCTGCTTCCAACCAACAACGTTCAACCAGCTCACATTTATCAGTATGTACCACGATGGTGGGTGGGTACATTACAAGAATGATCGATAGAATCCGGTTAGCACGTAGAACTAGACGACATGAAATTGGTTGTCTTACCGTGACTAATCAATACATATATTAATGCTTAAGCAAGCACTCGTGTTACAATAATTTGACTGAACTTACTTGTGAATGGAGCAATATTCGAAAAGTCTGGTGATATGTTTCGCCATCATGATCAGGTGCGAAAGTTATTGAAACAGTTTGCTTGTCACCTACGATTAAAAAAGAGACAATGTAGATTTTGAATAAAGCTTTGAATTGAATTTCAATAAAAACTTGCAAAATAATTATCTGAAAACCTGATAAAGAGCGGAATATTTAACAGGATTTACTTGGAAAGAATCTTGTCTTGACAACTGCCAGCTGCTATGATACACAGCTTTATCGATAGATTTCGGTCAAATCTACGGCATGAAATGTGACATTACTTTTTATTTAGTAACTGTGTTGAAGAAAATCATTTTAAAAGTGCAATGAGTTAATTCTAAAGTGTACTGTTTAAGAAGGTGGTGTTGTTCAATAAAAGCCAACAAAGAAACTGATACTGAGGCTGATGAAATTTAGTGTTATCTGTAATTCATGTCTGACAAACTAAGGAAGCAAAGTTGATGCTTTCTCCCTTTAAGTGTAAAGGAAATAGTAATCTTCACAGGTTGTTTTCGTACTTTCCTACGGATTTTATTTTAGTGAGATTATGAAAGTGAGATTGAAAGACAGAAATTAGTGTTGAAATATGTCGTTCACTGAGTAAATTTTCACTAATTGGCTTTTATTCTTAAAAAGGACATTTTATGACTTCATACCGTGAGCAACCAATAGGCACCTTTCACTAAGAGGTCAACACTGACATTTCTCACAGCAAAGTGGTTTACCAGTTGCCTAACTGTGGTGTCAGCAGAGTTTCCCATTGGAAACCATCCAATCAAAATGACAAGGTGTGTCATGAAATAGCGAGAGATATTACCGCTGAACAACTCAAGTAGATAAAAATCATATTCTTTTGGTTTCAATGGCAAAATAGCCGTTCGATGTTTAGATTACTCTGGTCTGGCTGGAGAAATACTGCAAATCAACCTGAGTGGTTTCTAACTACTCAAATTGTTCAACCGTAGTATCTTTCACAAACTCGATTTGTTTTGACGATGACGGTTGGATGGTCAGCGAAGTATAGAACACCGTAAATATACGTACTAGTTCACTTTGCCAAAATACTACATAAAGAAACACAACTGAAAAGATAATGAGATAAACTGAAAGGAGGAAAAATAAAAGCACAGTAGAATTTTTTCAAGACCTAGAGAGAAAGAGGAAGAAAGAGAGAATGCTTTTTGACTGCAAGCATTTTGGAATAATACACTCCACATTTAAGCAAAGAGGATTTTAATCAGTACATACATATATTTTCATCTACAGAACTAAAACGTACACATTTTTGAAATCTTGTACGTTTTTCAAAATTGGTCCACAAAATTCATTTACCGAACGCTGGTGAACAACATGTCGAAAGCAGAAATTATATCAGAGAAATAGCAATTGTTAATTTGTGAAAGCTCTGTTCAAATGCACAGTGTTGTTCAATTGAGCTTCAAAATAAATATGAAGTATTTTTGATCTTTCTAGAAGACTTAAAAAAATGTTATGATTCTTCTCTCAAGTGAAGTAGGGAAATTTGGGAATAGACAGTAAAATAAAATTTCATTTTTACAGTCAAATGAGTATGGTGATGGCAGGTTTTAATGAGAATGCAAACAAGTAGGTACAAAGATAAGGAAATATCCCAACTATTTTGAAATATTTGCCAAATAAACATTGTCTTGCTGAATTCATAAATTTCGAAAAGAATATGAAAACATTTTAGGCATTAACTGTATGCAAAACTGAAATCTGGGACGTACATTTCTTCCTATTTCCTGCGATAATCAGTACGAGTCAAGTATAAATGAGATTTAGTTATGAGGAATATAGAGGTATCCACTGAACAGCAGGAAATACAAAGCATTCCAAGGACATTTTGAATAAGTGAAATTTTTCAGAGACACTCGCAAAATGAGTAATAAGCTGTGTATTTTCATGAATGATAATTATCTTTTCCTTTAATGTACAGAATGGCAAGTAACTAAGCCTAGCATATAGACAGTCCAAGATGAATAAGAAAAATCCGAATCCAAGTAGTACAATCCAAACTGTTTTAGATATTTTGGGCAGCTGACACAAGGGAATAGTTAACTCTGTGACTAAGATGTCATGATTTAGTCATTCTGAAATAGTGAACTGAGGACTTGTGCATGTCAATACATATCAGAAAGGCAGGCATATCTACTGTCTCAGTTTTATATTTGTTTATTTGATCTGACACAATGACAGTGTTATTTACTGGATGACGTTTTGAGCATAATACGAGCAATATATTCTTTTCGAAACATCAAGTAAATAATACTTTACCAGTGTATCATATCAAATAAGCAATCTAATATAGAGTTTTTCTCTACCATGGTGCTCGAGTATTACTCTTACATTAATATCTTGATTTTCTTTCCCAGAATATTTAATATGACGCCAAATATTCGATAGTCACTTTTACCCCACGGATTAATCCATTATGTCTTCAGGAATACTTAGAAAGGCAACTTAGTTGCAATGAATTAAACAATAAATTAAAACTTGGATTTAGAATATAGTGTAGTTAGGATTTATTTTAAAATGACAAACACATCTTTTAATTTTGGCGTGTAAGAGCCTTGAGAATGTAGCTTCAAACCATCTCCGAAGATTAAATAATTTGTCAGTTTTACTGAAGGTATCTGTCTCAGGTAAGTATCGCTCAGTACGCCACTAGTTTAGATAGCAGTGGTACCTACAGCGTTTGTCAACTTGTTTCGGTGAAATCCTCACCTATCACTTACGAGTGAACTGAGCTGTAGCACTGTTTGCATATGGTGGAAATACTGTGTTAGAGATGTCGAGGTTAGAGAGAATATGACGCAAGGAAGGCTAGTTAGCCAATGAGATTGTGAACCTTCACCAGTTGAGGTAGCTTCGAAAAGGCATTATGGCATGCTGGGCCACCACCTGTCTCGATCCGTAGTACTAGCCGGAGTACGATGGGGTTATAAAAAGGCTGAAGGTGGTCAGATCAAAAAGTGGCACCAGTCCACGAAGTCTGTGACTGCTAATCTGGGCCACAGGGGAGGTGTAAACTATCTGTTCGGGATCCTCGAAATGACAGAATCCTAGTGACATGGCCGAAAATCAGTTGCAATGGTGGAGATGCATTCACTCTGACGTCTTCAAAAGCTTGAACATTTTCAACAAATTTGGTCTTCAAATTCCTTCTCCTCTGAAACGCTTTTCTTTACTTTGATATCAATCTTCTACCCTCTTGTTCTTTTTATGCCACTGTGAAGTGTTGTAATTTGAGTCAGTGCACTTTTGTGAGAGGTTCCACTTTGTCTATCGAAAGCAAACATATTATATCAACCTTCCAATAGTTGAAAAAAATGCGAAATATCAATCATCTTGAGCACGCTTTCTATAGAAATCGCGTTTGAAAAATATTCTAAAAAACCGAATATGAGATCTATCCTTTTACCTAACAATAGTTTTAAAAATCTTCCATTACATACATCAACTAATCCAGTTGATTAACACGAGGTTTCGGAATCACTTGTGTATGGTGTGTCCAAAAACTATCTAAATTTCGGTTTAGTGAGAAACCTAATATTATTTAAATCATGCTACTGAAAACTTATTGCTCCAAAATGAGTATTAGATGCAATAGAAGAAATAAATCTGATCAGTGTAATTTATGTCAATTAACAAGAAGTTATTGACGATGATGAATAACTTCACTTAATTTCTCCTGAATATGTTCTGCAACTTTCTAGTCAAACTTCTGACACTCATTGATATCTAGGAATATTAACTGCGTTCAGTTTGCATTCGCTTTAAATTTGACTAAAAGATGTTTCAACAAACTGGCAGTAATTTTATCATAATGACTGAAGTATGAATGTACCAAGTGAAAAAATTAGCTTTCATCACATGAATATGAAACAATTAATCACTTCTGTAAATTTGAATGGTGTAATTTAAAGACAATAAAAATTATCATTAGTCACATAGAAGTTAACGTTCATAAAATAGTTATCAGGAGATAAACTTCCCTGTCTATGAGGTGCGCTAGATTGCAAATAGGTAGCTCTACGAACATCAAACCCAGTAGAAGGTTGTGCAACACAATTTGAGGTGAGATTTAGCTGTTACTATTTAAGAGTAGACGAAATACGTCTTCAGAAGTGCAGAAGTTTTTCAAGTTAATATGTCAAATGAAATGCAGCTGTTTGAAGGATAAGCTTGTGAGAGAAGATAATGGAAAATATCGCTTTTTTATTACTTATCCATACATAACAGGTAAATATGGTTACTTAGGTTTTCCTAAAGGGTTGTATAAGCATATCATCGGATAAATTTGTTCAAATGTTCGTTATCTTAAGTACTTTGTGCGAAATCCTGTCATACCGTGCACACAATTTACTGATGTTCTTTGATCTGTAATGTTTAAAATGGACAGAAGAAATGAAAGTAGGAATCTGAGAAAGGCTTTAAGGATTGGATGATTTTAATTTCCGTCAAAACTGTTATGTGAAGTGATAGGTTGATGAAAAAGTATTCGAATCTTGTATTTTTAAAAGTAATGATGGTTAAAAAACTTCTAAATGTCTGTCACTACCTTTTTCTGAACCTAATTTCCTGAAAGGACATTTATTATATACATGTGTTGGGAAAATGTATCTTACTGGTGTTTATACGGCGACATAACTCGTGTGTTAAACGTGAACGTGACTAATTTGAGCGAATCTAAGAAGTTGGGTTTTTGAAACATTATGCCTATTAAGTCGGGTACACAAATGAAGAGATTGGTCAAAAAATTCATCCGACGTGAAGAATAACGTTAATGTGACTAGGAAGCACTGTTGAAGAGTCAGAGCGACTGGTGACTACTCATGTCAATAAGTAGTATACCTCATATAATTTCTTTAGGTACTTACGTGATGCTTTTTTGGTTTTAAGTAATCAATAACTTATTGTGTGAGAGGAACCAACACTGGAGTGGAACCCATTGGTTACACGTAGCTGAGCTATTCCGAACATGAACTCAGAATTATGGACTGCTTGTTTTGTTTACATCTGTTAAGGGTAAAAATTTATCGCCGATGACAAATAGTGATGGCATGGTAATAATTTAACCCTGCAATTAGTTATTAACTAGAGACAGTAGAAAGTCAATCGTTATATGATTTTCATTGTGTTATTAATGTAAGCAGAAGTTTGTATTCAGTAAAAATACGGTGTGAATTTTTGAGTCATTGAAAAAAAACCCACAAGAGCACACTTTGCAAAAAGGGATCACTATTAATTTAATTGCCGTACCAGTAAGCGAGTTCAGCTTAAGAGCAGTCAGTGGACAACAATTTTTCTTTCAGAATAAAACTTCTTATTGTAATTAGTTTCCAGAAGGACTTAATTTTAAATATATCCACTAGAGGTCTGTGCTTTGCAGTGACAGTAAATTGACAGCCACAGAAAATATCTGCATTCTTGTGTAGCCTGTAAGCCGTTTGAAGGAATGTGTTAATGGAAGCTGAATGGCATATTTTGACATAGGAATTTTGTCACTAAAGGAAGTTAATTTAAATGATTTAAATATGATCGTCTGTTTTCGTATAGCCAAGGCCATATCTCGTTGAGATAACATGAGAATTACACAGAAATTTTAACAGACAGAATCATTTCAAGTCAGTTTCTACATTTTAGAAAGTCGTACGTTTCCTTAAAAAGTGAAGCTTGATTTTATAAGTTTAAAGTTTAGATGATTTTGCCTCTCATATTAGTTGGAAACTGCATTTGGTATATTGAATTGAAACAGATCAGCCAGATTAGCCTGTCACAGTGAACCTGAATTTTGAGAGTGACTCTCACAAATTGATAAATGCACATTTAATGCATCAGAAAGAAGAACTATCAACACATTTTACGGGAATGAACGAGATATTATGGATAGCTGGACACCGTTTAGTATTTATGAAGGTTTTAATATCCTTAAAGTAAATCCAACTGCGCTAAGCAACTGTAAAGTGTATGAGCCTGGTGTGGAACTCAGATTTATTCCATTAAACATTGTAAAATGTAAATGGGAATTCATACACTTGCCTCCTAATGGCGTAGAATGCAGCCTACTTTTGTACTTCAGTTCGCTAACCAGCGGCTAAAAGATGGATAAGAAGTTAGAAGGGAAAAGTCATTAACTGAGTGATCTCAAAGTAAGGCGAAACTAGTGAATGAGGTTCTTTACCCTACATGGGCTTAAATTTTAGACACACATTTTCTGGAGCCACCTATTCTTATTTAGGATATTGACTTTGGTAGAATAAACATAAAACAAGTCTTATACTGGTTAAAACTGAAGTTGGCAGAGAAAATCTAAAATTTGGCCGTTTGCACTTCTGTGTACAGTGATTACCACTGATTTTATTTCTTCAGCCTATTACTGGATACCAATTCCATTGTTATTTTGTAAATCTTTTGATTCTGTACACTTTGATGACAAGGCAAAATAAGCTGTTATTTAGCAGGAGAAATAAGGAGAAATAAGAACATTCTATGGCAACTATGCTCAAAACTCCAATATTTAGAAAAATTATCAAATTTTATACAACTTTTGACTTTCTTGTACACATATGTATTCTAGTCTAGTTGTATGTAGGCATACAAATATTTGGATGTATGTATACATGTAAATACGTAGGGACTTTATGAAACAAAAAAAAACGAAGGAATGAAAAACAAGCGAATTTGACATAACACATCACTTTCATGTTGAAATGGAACAAAAAGATAACAGATAAACAAGCATAGATTTGTTTATGGATTAAGTTTTCAGTAGTGAATTTTTTCATTTTATGAATGTAAATGTCTTATGAGAGACAGAATGTAATGATAAAACTAGTAGCATCTACTTTCATATACATACTATTTATAAGATGTGATTTCTAAAAGCATTACTGGAAAGTCGATTGTGAATAGATGTTTGACAGGATTGTAGTCTCAAAAAAAGGTTTCCACCAGGAAGTATTACTGGTCGAAAAAGTTATTATTCATCACGGCCTGATATCATTTTGGGGAATCATTGAAAATCTGAGAGCACTGAGCAGCTGTTTTGTCCTTGTATGGGACTTTTCAGCTTACGCATCCACGATCCAGCTAGGAGTCGAACTCGGAGCCTTCAGGTATCACAGCAAACGCCTGATCCATTCAGCCACTGGGGTAGAGTCTAATGGTCTACAGTTTTCCCCTAAGGTCTTCAACTGACATCCACTTCACTTGTGACTGGTTGACCCCACAGGTCACGGTTACTCATTAGAACTTCAGGATATCCACATCAAAGCCTGTCACTAATGAGTACTACTTGTATTCTGAGGTTAATGGGGATTACTACCTTAAACATTGTAATAGCCATCAACCTCAAAAGGAATTCTGTTCATTAGTATTTTCATAGCCTTCTGTTATATGAGCAGTTATCTGAAAAGACTGAAACCCAATCACTTCAAGCTTGTTAAGCAAATATTTAGTTAATGGGAAACTAAGCAGATTCATTCACATCTGTTTTCAAGTTGACCTGTTTGCATTATTACGCACATCCTAAACAGGATATTAAATTACTCAGTTATTAGCGATACCCATTTATGTGTATGTGTTTATTGTTCTGTCTTCATAAGTGTATGATTTTACTGAGAGTATTTAAAATAAATCTTTATGGGATGGATTAGATACTGTCAACATTCAAAGATTATGTAGTTGAATGGGGAGTACTGATCTGCTGAGGCATCTAAATCTATGAGTCATGCTGTTGTTTTATAAAGAACAGCCTTAATTTGTTTAATCTTGCTTTCCCATGCATAATGTTATTTATTACAAGGTATATTCCTATAATAACGGTATAGAGTACCTAGTGAAACATACCAGGTTTAATTTTCCCTTGGTTAGGTATTATCATAAATACAGGTAGACCATTTCGGTTTTTTGATCCTCCTATCTGATTTTCATCTATCAATATCTGAAACTCCAGAGGTATATTTGTAATATTAGTAAGAGTTATAAGTCGTTCAGTGAATTCTCCAAGTAGAACGTAGCCAAAATTAAGGTAGTGAAGTGTTTGCCTTGAGTTAATTACTGTAGTGCAATGCTCAGGTTTTTGTGAGTCGTAGGGAATAGTTGTTAGTTCAGGTGGACCAGTGACTTCAATTCTGAAAGCAGAAAGATAAAAATTTTGGTCAGCATAGTGTTTTAATCAACTCATTTCCTAAGTAGTCTATTTAAAGAATTACCAATACTTACATCCTATTTCGAAGAGATAGTCATTAACCTTATTAAATGAATCCTTTGACAAGCATAGCAATATACCTGGAGATGGCACCTATGGTTATTATTATGTTAGAACAACTGAGAAGTAATAACTGTGGTTGACAGTAGGGCAGCTCACTCCCAACACGTAACAATAAAGCAAAGTAAAAAGCCGTTCTATGTCGTAGCAAAGTAGCGATATTTCACACCTAATCGGCGGCTTTAATCCTGTATTTTATTATTATTATTATTTGTTCCTTGGGTTCCTAGTTGAACATAGGGCTTCAGTAGCACGTCTCCAGTGCACTCTCTTTTCTGCAAACTTTTGAACCTAACCCCACGAAAGCCCAGAAGCTCTCATTTCTTCCTCACACGATCTCCGCTATGTCACCCTCGGCACTGATGCCTAACTCGTCGCTTCCTATCTGGGTTTCACTCGACTACCTGGCCTGGCGTGTAATGTCCCCAGTCGGCCCTCTCAATGTATGCCCAATCCATCTCCACTTTCCCCTTCTGCATATTTGTTGAGTGATAGGTTATTGCTTGGTTCTTTCCCAGCCAGAGTTCCTTGTTGCCTATTCTTTCTGGCAATTCATCTGAGCTTCACTAACGAGCCAGCGTAGGCAGTCGATGAATGTCTGTAGTTTATTGGAAATCCCTTTCGTAACGCGCCAAGTCTCTCAACCATCACACAGAAGCACTGACTTGACGTTGGTGTTGAAAATCCGGATCTTGTTCCACATGCTGAGTGCAGTGTAGTAGATCTCCACACTGGTTTCACGATAATGAAGGCCTGCCTTGCTTTTCCGATTCTGACTTTGACATTCTCGTCTGTCCCGCCTGTAGTTGAAACAGTGCTGCCTAGATAGGTGAAGGAGGTTACTTCCTTCAAGTTTCTCCCGTTGATGGTGATTGGAGTTTGTTGTTGTTGTTGATGGTGGTGGTGCGGTATCTTCATCACCTCTGTCTTCTCTATATTCACTTGAAGTCCCGTCTTCGCTGCCCTGCCCTACCTCTTCTATCAACTTGTTAGTCTTCTCCTGTAGATCTTCAAGTTTGTGTGACATCAGACTCAAGTCATCGGCTAAATCCAGATCTTCTGGGTTCTTTTCCGCAGTCCAGCCAGCGTATCCCCCTCTTCTCGCTCCTCACTGTTTGCTGCATGATCCAGTCGACCACAATCAGGAATATCATGGGAGATAGTAGGCAACCTTGTTTCACTCCCGTCTTCACTTCAAAATCATCACTGAGCTTCCCATTGTGAATTACTTGGCTGGTATGTGGCGTCTTCATGTAGTTGTTGAATGAAGCGGATAAAGGTTTGTGGTATTCCGTAGTATTGAAGCAGTTTCCAAATTACTTCTCGGTCGACGCTGTCAAAGGCCTTCTCAAAGTCGATGAAGTTGAGGTGAGGTAGAGATCCAGTTGACTGCCATTTTGTACTTTGTTCTATGATGATGCTAAGTGTAGCGTTGCAATTTGATTCGCACATGATTTGTACTTCCTGAAGCCTGCCTGTTCCGGTCGCAGTTTTGAATGCAGCACATCCTTTAGCCTTTCCAGGATGATGCCGCCTAATATTTTGCTTGCTCTGGGTGGACAGGAGAGTGATTCCACGCCAGTCCTTGCAAATAATTAGGTCGCCCTTCTTTGGTAGCTTGACAAGGTAACCTTTACTTCCTTCCAGACATTCTGCAATAGTGGTGTGGTGTGAGCATATCCGCTGTTGTCTCTGCATCTGTTCTCAGTGCTTCTGGCGGGATTCCATCTGGTCCTGCTGTTTTTCCTCATTTCAGTAGCTTTATGGCATTCAGGACTTCCACTTTTGTCGGAGGATTTATGTTCACTTGTAGTTCAGCGACTGAAGGTGGTATTTCTGGACGAAGCGCAGGTGATGGTCGATTCAAGAGCTTTTTGTAGTGGTCGGCCATAGTTTCCTTTGTTTCTCTTCTTTCGTAATTAAATTTCCTTCATCATCTTTTATTGGTTTCGTCTGCATTGATCTCTTCCGAGATAGTAATCTAGTTATTTGATACAATATGGTCAGGTCTCTCTTACCAGCACTCGGAAGCCTGTTCTGCTTCACTTGCCAGTGTTTCGTAGAAGTGTCTTTTGTCTTTGTGCACACTCTTCTTCATTTCTTTGTCCAGTTTAGTGCTTTTTAGGTTGTGTTCAGTCCCTCTTTTAGTTGTTCATTCTTGCACTGGTTTATCTTCTGCTTCACCATCCTCCTCTCCTCTATCAGCTTCCATGTGTCCATCGATATCTATTCCTTATCTTCTTTCTTTTTCCTTCCTAATACTTGTTTCTATCCAGTGAGTAGTCTGTGTGCAATTTCCTTTTATTACTCACTTTTCTACTATCAGAACTTCATTTAGTTGTGGATTCGCCGAAATAACTGAGTTAAATATAACTCACCTTAGTCTGCTGGTAATGACGTGGTTTTAAAAACAAATTAAAAACCAAAACTTCAAAATCATTTCGTCTCAAAATATTAGTAGTGAACCATCTGTAATCTTCGCAAAAGTTTAACAGATTAGGATAGAACATCCGTAAGCTAAAGCAAAGCGAACTCTTAGGTAAGAAAACAGTAAATGAATTGAGGAATTTCCAAATATCCATTTATTTAAGCAAGGTATTCAGAAATAAACGAATTAAGGAAATCCGTCTAGTTCAGCAAAGCCACCTGTTAAGCAGAAATAGTGGAGCTTTAAAATTGAATCAAACTCATTATTATTTTACTTTTAATTGTATTAAAGTATTATCTTATTAGGATTAAATCACATAATTAACTAACGACTCATAGTCAGCACTTTACTAATTCCGTTTTGAGCAAACTGTTTTGTGAAGGCACTCGTGTTGTTGCAACACAAGATGAGGCTGTATACCGTCCTGGTTTTAAAAAGCTAAGATGTTTGTTCCGTTCTCTTTTGTAAACCAATGTGTAATTATTTGTTTAAGTGATGAGTATATCATACTGTTTTGTGATTTACTGACCAGAACGGGTGTCAGCCTGTATCCCTTGTATGTGGTGTAAAAAACGTGCCGAAAACGTAATCTCTCAATTATTGTGGTGCACATATGTTTGACTTTTGATACGTACTTATCTATCAGGGACAAGGTTATATATAGCAAGCGGGACATTTTTCGTCTAAAGTTTTTGAATCGCTTGGGGATATATGGGGTCAGGAACGAAAACTGAACTTAGACTATAGTAACCTTAGAAGAGATGCAAGGTGAGAGCAAGTAAATCGTTCAGGTATATGCCTGAAAAGAAAAACCCGGAAAAAATCATTTTCATGAGTAGTAAAAGACTTAGCTATCTTCTCGTGTTTTACAATAATGACGAAATATTGCTCTTCCTGTGAATTTATGGGATAACGGGATCTATCTCAAAAACATTTTTACTCAACTTTTGGAAATTTAGCAGTAAAATTAAGATCCTTCAGGATGATTTCTAAAATAGGCTTTAGATGTAAAAGTCCTAAATAAATTTGGGCCAGACAGTTCGAAACGGAAAAAGATTAGATATTTACGCATAGTCGAAGTTTTGGCGATTCACAATTCAAACCTCAACTGCATATTCAAAAAAGAGCATGTGCGGACGCTCCGTTTACTATGGCCCTAAACATATACTCTGTACCTTAGTTTAACTTTTATTTAGCATCTTGTTTATTTATTTATTTTTGCTAGATACCAACAATCATTGTTCATTGCATTTCTAATCAATTTTATTAAACTTTTGAGACCATTGGTGTCACGCAACATCATTTTATTCCATCTGTATATCAATTGGTTAGTTTTGGCTCTAAGTCAGAAACCTGTCTGAAACATTCCATCATTTTAACGATATATTTACGAACGTACAGCTATGAAATGTTGAAACGCAAAAGAAGAGGCTGCATTATATAAGAGACTTGCTGCTTCTTCCTCATGCGTTTTTCCGAAATCAGCAGGATATGAGCAGACCAAGAAAGATCGAACGAAAAATATAAACAGAAACAGATAGAAAGTGATGAATTTTCTAATACAGTCACCAATAGAGTTACAAGACTGAAACAGTTTGCGTTAGTCATCTTCAGGTCTGAAGCTCAAACTGATAGTCTGGGATTTTGAAAAACTAATAATAAAGCCATTCATAGAGAACCACCCTTCAATATTAAATAGGCAGTCTCTGAATAAAGACAATCTGAAGAAACAGTGACGGGGATGGAAGTTGTCACGTTATTTGAATACTTAGCGGTATCGAGTAAAGCTGAAGTGGGCAAAACCTATGGACAGAAGAAGAAGAAGATGGAGGAAAACATAGTCATGGAGAACATCAGCTTCAGTAGGTAATGAAATAGAGCGTTGTTCTCTGTAAACAGGATTCTGTTTCCTTTCAAAGAAATGAGAACAAGATTAGTTAGCAATCCGAGACATATCATATTTCATGACTAGCTTGTTCAGCGGCAGCTGACTTTTGATTAAATCAAAAAGACAATTTATAGGCTGAAAATATACACCTGATATAAAATAGCACCTCTGTCAGGACTAAAAACAATATATAATGTAAAGCATTAGCGGCATATATATACAGTTTGATTACGATCGCGATAATTCTTCAATCAATTAAAATTGAAGCAGAGGCAATACCAACCTCTGTTTTTAAAAATGGAGACGATAACTGCGATCTATTGGAATTCAAAAGATGCTCCAGGAGAAATGGAATTAAGTACTGACAGTACTTGTTCTCTTTTCAGCCTGCTGGTAAATCATTGCTTGAAAGTGATTTAATCAACTATTTGTTAGCGCGTACATTTTCTAAGTAAAAAATTAGGAATATCATTTGGTTTTAAGATGTTAAAAGCGTTGAGTGATTTGAGACAGCTAAATATACTTATCTTGCTGACTTAGGTAAAAATCAATCTTATTTGAACTGAAAAGACATGACGTACCAGTGAGATTCGTAGATCAACTAGTTAATAATAAACTATAAAGTTTATCTTCATAAAAATACAGTATTGCTGCAAAACATACCTTGGTGTCACGCAAATGCCTGAAAACTTCACACTCAGTGGATAATACTCATTGGATGCTAGTGTTACCAATTTATTTTTCATTGGATATGATTGCAAAATAAATGTTTCTGTACAATAATTTTGTGATGAGTTTGGTGCAAAAGCAAAGTTAAGATTACATACTTCGCCTGATTTGATACTTTCTATTAATTGAATAACTTCAAAAGCTCCAACTGGGTTTAACGGTTTCGATTTCAGCTGAAAAGTAAGAAAGTTATTTTGTATTCGGGTTAAAGATGCGACACTACACTTAATGTGATTTATATAAGAGAAAAATGGTGACATCCTATGTTTTTAATCTTGTGGTTGTATACATATTTGCATTGTTTACAGCTTAATAGAGTATAGAGTTTTTACCTGTGCTTTAAAAAGTGCATATACATCTGCATTATCACATTTTTGTCACTGTGGTAATATGGACGGAAAAATATAACTGACTGTCGCTTTAACTGACTCAATGAAGTGACCTATTTGGTATTCGGCAAAGTACACAACTCTCAAAAGTGCAAAAGCATACATTATTAACAATCCGAAGTGTAAATGGATTCTATTTTGAGCTTGATTTTGATATCCAAGGCCATTTCGAAATCTAATTTCACATACTTCTTCCCTAACGAAGACTTCAGACACATCTGTATAACATGACGTTAATTATTGTTATTATTGTAAATAACTCTGCATAATTGTGGAGTCTTACAGATAAAACGGATGCGAGATTTCTCAAATTTCCATGACTAGTTATTTAACATGACTGAATATCACAAAGGTGTAACTTTAGCATTATATAAGAAGAGAATTGCTTCAGTAAAAAAATGTAGTGAATATTGCAAAAAAATAAAAGTAAAATGATCTTACTTTTAAGTGAAATGGACTTATATTTTTGATTGACAAGATGCGAGTATTACGCTGGCCAGCACAGATTGCACCAAAATCGAGACGATTGTAACTTTTGGTTGATTCGATAAGTAAAGGTGGTCTTATTATCGGGCAAATTAATTCAAAAAATAGGGTATTCTCCTTCCTGTATGAGGAAAATTTTATGCATCGATAAATGTGAATTGATCAAAATAAATTTGCAAAACAAAGGATAAAAAATTGTAGTAGAAATCTAAAATCATATGATGGCTTTAAACAGGTTATCTCACAGAACCTTGGATTTAAACTTAGGGTTAGAATACTGTTCGAATTTTAACACAAAGCTTAGAAACACTGAAACATATTTCTACGCCTTTTGCAATTTATGATCTCGTGGCAACGTTAAACACAACAAAAACCTTAAACAGTAAGCCTCCTTATTAATGTCCAGATGACTGCAAGCATGATTCAAGATAGTAAACTGTCAGGCGCTTGAAAAACTATGGAGTCAGGTAACCGAATTTCCCAATAAGTGTGTCTGAATACAACGTTTGTTGATTAATGAGAACAGGTAAATTAGGACCACAGATGAAATCATTCCAGCAAAGCTTACACGAATGATTGTTTTGTAGAGTTTGATCATAATTCCTTTAGCCTGCTCTAGCTACGTGTGAACTTAGCAATTTGGATAAGCATAAGATCAATTTCTGTTTCCTCGTTCATAAATTATCTGATTGTGTGGTGAATTGGAATTCCTGATCTGTTTTGCATATTTGAGTTACAGTGTCATTTTTCAACAACAAAATTAGTTAACGGTCTAATTAAATTAACAGCTGCTGCGGCTGTAAGACTCCTAAGATGGGTTCTGAGATAATAGGTAATTCAGTGGCTTGAGATAGTAGCAAACGTTGCTCACGGTCGTAATCAGTGGCGACTATACTGCATCTTTTATCCTACTATTGAGAAATAAAAAAAGTATTGAATGCTTCTTTGGATACATCTTTCAGATTGCTTCTTTAATAACCGATTTCTATTTTTAACCTCACCTAATTTACTAGCCGGTCCTAAGCCCAGATAAAGAAGGAAGGTTGGGCATAGGGTTAGCAATCCTAACCCAGAATACCAATCCAATCGCCAAAGAAACTTCATAGCACAAAAAAATATAAAAAATTAAAATAAACTCTTCCCTCGATGGAATCGCAGAGACGAAATGACGCCGGTTGGTGAAAGCCTTCGGGAAAACAATCGGCCGATGTGTCTTCTCTTCTCCCGATGAAAGGAAAGATAAGTATAGGGATATGGAGTGTTCGATATATTTGAAGCGAACTGGCTGGCAAGGCTGCACAGATTGAAAAAGAAGTGAGAAGATATGGCATAGAAGTGCTAGGAACCTGCGAGAGCAGATGGAATGGAAGTGAGCTCTTCAAACTGTCAACTGGAGAGTCAATAATCCACTCCAATATTGTTACACAGACGACAACCACGAGCACAGCACACTGAGTTTTCCAGTGGCTATCATGATGCCTCCAACAGCATCGAAGGACCTCTCTCACGCAGTGGGAACCAATCTCCTCCTCCTCCTGCAGGATCATGACAGCAAGATTCAACTCGAAAGGGAGGAAGGAAAGTCACAATGATACAATGCTACACTATGGACACATAAATAATTAAGGAGATCAAGAGAAGAAGGAGGAATTCTACAGACAACTGGAATCAGTAAAGGACAGTTAGCCACATCAAGATTCATTCAAATGGGTGAGGTGACATGAATGGGAAACTGGGAGGGGACAACATGGGAAGAGAACTCATGAGTCATGAGTGGAGAAGCACGACTCGGTGAAATGATGAAGGAGAATGAGAATGAGAGTGAGGATGAGAATGGAGCACTGTTTGCAGACATCTTTGCCTCCAATGATTTGGTGATTGTAGGCGAGGCAGTGTGTACAAACACAGACAAGGATATTCACAAGGGAGCTACATGGATTTGGTTTCACCAGACATCACACCAGAACACACTAAATATCAGATCGACTCGATTTCAGTGTGAAGAAAGTGGAGATAGAGATGCAGCCTACTGGATGAGATCAGATGAAGAAGAGGAGCAGATGTAGGTTCATACTACTCAAACCATTATCTAGGGCAAAAAACCTACCTTCCAAATCAAATCGAAAGCCCTCAATTCAACGTAGCTGGTGATATACCATAGTTCAAGTTCAACGCCCACCCAGAACAGAAACTGGAGAACGAAAGTATAAGGACCATCTTTACTTCAGTCATCAGGAAAAAACGGGAGGCATTAAACAAAATTTCCGAGGAAAACTGCGTGGAATAAAACTGAAGCTCTGTGAAAAAGACGTAGAAGGAAACCTGCATTACCGTGTTAGGAAAGAAGAAGAAGAGGTAAGACAAGGAATGGATCTCGATGGGCACATGGTAGGTGATAGAGGAGGGAGAGGAAGATGATGATGGTGAGGCAGAACTAGTGCAGTGTAGGGGTGAACAAAGGAAAGAGGAACTGAATACAACCTAACCTATAAAACACTACACTGGAAAAAGAAGTGAACGAGAGTGCACGGAAAAACAAAAGACACTTCTATGACACACTCGTAGGTGAAGCAGAGTAGACTGTAGGTAAGAGAGAGAGACCTGAAAACATTATTTATATCGGATAACCAGGTTACTATCTGTTAGGGAAGAGATCAACACAGATGAAACCAATAAAAGATAGTGAAGGAAAGCTAGTTAGAAAAGAGGAGAAACAAAGGAAACGATGGGGTGACAATTTCAAGAAACTCTTGGGTCGACCACCAATGCATATCGTCCAGAGAAACCACCAGCAACCCAGACGCAGTACTATCAGCGAACATAAACCCTTCGACGAAAGCAGAAGTGGTCTTGAACGACATAGAGTTGCTGAAATCCAGGAAAGCAGCAGGACCAAATGGAATTCTTCCAGAAGCACTGAAAACAGACGCGGAGAAATCAGCAGTGGACATGCTGAAACCACTATTGCAGAAGGTTAGCAATGAAGGTAGGAAAGGTACCTGCCTGCCATTTGAAAGAGGGGCTACCTTGTCAAACTCTTAAAGAAGGGAGACCTAAGTCTTTGGGAGAACTGACACGGAATCATGCTGCTGTCCACCACAAACAAAATATCAAGCCTCATCATCCTGGAGAGAGAGACTTAAAAATGCTCTGGATTCAAAACTACTACCGGACACAAGCTGGCTGGCTACAGGAAGAACAAATCATGTGCGGATCAAATTGCAACACTACGCATCATCATGGGACAGAGCATAGAATGGCAGTCAACTCTCTTATCCTCAACTTCATCGAACTTGAAAAGGCTTTCGACAGCGTCGACCGAGAAGTGATTTGGCAGGCAGCTGCTTCAACGCTTCAGTTTTAGTACCACAAACCTTTACCAACCTCATTCAACAGCAGCTATGTGCTATATGATGCTACGTGCAAAGTGATTCACAATGCAAAGCTCAGCGATGCCTTTGAAGTTTGAACATGAGTAAGACAAGGTTACCGCCTACTATCACCCATGACTTTCCTGATGGTGGTCAACTGGATCATGGAGCAAACCGTGAGGAACGAGAAGATAGGCATGTGCTGTTTGATGTATGAAAAGACCCTAAACGATTTGGATTTCGCTGATGATAATTTGTGTCTAATGCGTTGTCGCACAAACTCGAAGATCTACTGACGAAGGAAGACGGAACTTCAAGTGAACGTAGAGAAGACAGAGGTGATGAAGATACCCAACCGACAACACCAGTAACAACAAGCAATAATCACCACCAACCGGAGAAACCTAAAGAAATTTATCTATTTCACCCACCTGCCTATGTAGCATCGTTTCAACTACAGGTGGCAGCACAGATAAGGACGACAAAGCTAGAATCAGTGAAGCACGACTGGCCTTCATTATCCTGAAACCAGTGTCGAGATCTACTGCATTGCACTTAGCATAAAGTGTTAACAAGATCCAGATTTTCAACACTGATTCAGTCAAGTCAGTGCTCCTATATGGTTCAGAAACTTGGCGCGTTGTGAAATGCATTTCCAGCAAACTACAGATATTCATCAACAACTGCCGCTTACGCTGGCTCGTTAATGCAGCTCAGATGGCCAGAAACAATACGCAACAAGGAACTCTGACCGGGCAACGAACCAACCAAGAACCTATCGCTCAACGAATATGCAGAAGGAAGTGGAGATGGGTTCCACATACACTGAGAAGACCATTCGGGGACATCATGCGGCAGGCACTCGAGTGGGACAGAAACGGGAAATAACGAGTTGGTTGTCCGAGAGTGACATAGAGGAGGTCCTGTAAGGAAGAAATGAAAGCTTGTGGGCAGTCGTAGAATCAGGTGAAAAGAATGCAGAGAAAAGAGTGAAATGGTGACGTGCTACTGAAGCCCTATGTTCCACTAGAAACGAAAGAACAAATAATAATAATAATTTAGATTTCTATTCTTTTTCTCCTCTTTTCAAATCATTTTGTTCTTCTTAATGCCACTATATTGTTTTGTATAGTGCTTCTCTTTGTGTCAGTTTTGTAGCATTGTCTTCTCCGTGTAGTTATCACTTCAATTGTGCACATTTACTATCATTACGATTAAAATAATCAGAATTAGTACAGCACAGATTTTATATTTCATTTGTATTAATGAATGATTATGCAGCGTGTTCTTCACTGCTTAATCCTAACACGTTTCGATGGCAGTACTTGTTTTAATTACTGAAACTATTTCTACCGGAAGTGAAAAATTACGTTTACATTAGAGTTTGATATCAATTACGTACAGTTTCATTTTAACACTAACAACCAGTAGCAAATAGTTTCGAATTATAAACGAAAAGAAGTAATAAACGTTTATTGTTTTTGTGATTCAGTCCAGAATGTGACACAGTTGTGTTCCGGTTTAAACTTTCATGTTTACTAAATTTTTAATGAGAAATTAACAGTAAGATCAATGGTGACAGTATTCAAAGGTTTTATACAAAAGAAACAGGAGAGATGATTGGATAACTAGTAGGGAATATATGGTATTCGAGTGGGAGTATCCTTTGCTGTGGTAGTGTTCAAGGCAAATCTTTCAGTGATACACTAGCCATCACCTTCATCTAACTGAACATCCAACTTTTGAAATA